GGAATGTTGTTTTGATGGTCTTTGGGTACTCGAGGTTGCTGATTGGTGTCGATTTGTCTGTTTGGGGCTGACACCCTCGCCGACGCAGATGAGGCGCTGCCCCCCCCCCCGCCCCCCGCCCCCCCCTGCGATGAACCACTCGGGTGGCCCTACTCGAGACGGCCTGGCTTACCTCAGGGCGAGACGAAGAGACACCCACAGCACGTGCCTGTCTCAGCTGCAACAACAGCCAAACGGACTTTCTATATGGCCTACCGATCTATTGATAGTGGCTTTGAAACGCGAGACTCGGTGCGCGCGGGTTCGCTCAGACCGGGACATGGGTGTCGCGTGGCCGTTGCTCGCTTCCAATTCCGCGTCCACGTGCTGCTGCTTCCCACCACCACGCCGTGGCCTGTCTTTGTTCCCCAACACTTGACCGAAAACCCGCTCGACATTCTTGCGTTCTACGGTGCCACGCGGATTGATGGATGCGTCTTTGTAGGATGTGCGAGCGACTGTTCGACTTGGCTAAGGTTGGGTCGGTGGGCATCACCACCGGCGAGGCGTTTTGCGGCGTTGTTGGCTCCAAGACCCGGAAGGAGTACACGGTACTGGTAAGAACCGTGACACGGTGTTTGGTGTGATATGATTCCTGTTTGCGGGGCCCCGCGTTTGTTCCGACGAAACACAGATCGTGCGGACTGGTGTGAATAACTTGGCGGTTGGGGGTTGCCTGTTGTTTTTGTTCTGATACATGGAAGACGGGCGGAGCAGGGTTCAGAACGAGTTACAGCTTAGAGCGGTTGTGCAGGCATCTGTCCCACACACCAAGCTTTGACATGCATTGAGACCTTGTTTGTATGCCATTGTCCGATGTTAAGCATCCTGGCCGTTTTGTTCCGCCTCCGTAGCGGCGTGGTTACGTAGTTCTACAAGATCGCAATGGTAGGTTTTTGGTGCCAGGTTCCACGAGGCTGGTGCTCAGCAGCAGATTCGGAGGGGTGTGCTCGGCGTCTTCTCTCTCTCTCTCTCTCTCTCTCTCTCTCTCTCTCTCTCTCTCTCTCTCTCTCTCTCTCTCTCTCTCTAACTGTCTTTTCCTCCTCCTCCTCCTTCTCCTACTGCTCCTACTCCTGCTCCTCCTCTTCCTCTTCCTCTTCCCCCTTCTACTGCTGTTTTTTGTGCAGGGGGACAGCGTGAATCTTGCCGCGAGACTGATGCAAAGAGCTGTGTCCGAGGATGGAGGCGTGATGTGCGAGCTGGCCACGAAGCGGGCGTGCGGCGGGCTGTTGCAGTTCAAGGGGCGGGGCGACTTCCGCATCAAGGTGACCGGGGAGGGTCTCAGATCATTGTCGTGCGTGTGTGCGTGCCTGCTCGCGTTGTTGTTGTTGTTGTTACTGTTGTTTCTGCTGCCACTGTGTTTGATGTTGCTGTTGCGATTGGTGATCGAGACATGTGTTTTTTGGTCTTGAAGGGAGGTAACGAACGACAGCGACCAGACCCTGTCTTCTGCCGGAGATGCCGTTTATTGTTGAGCGTTGCACGACGAAATCGGAGTCCGCTGTCGAGTTCTTGAGCTGCTACCCCGTGATTTTTTCGCGCCCCCAAGCATCATCCGCCCACAGCAGTGCTGCGTGTACGCGTAGCGCGGACCCCCCGTGCACGATAAAAAACCCGGACGTGCGTGGGTGGATATAGCAAGAACAGTCGGTCCCATTCACGGGGCCTCTCGCTGGGAGCTGTCTCGCAATTTTTTCGCCTATTGGTCACTGGTACTACGTCAATGGTCAGCCGACTTACGGGGGTGTTGGCCGTGGTGGACTCATGAAGAAATTTTGGACGGTGTTGCTGCTACCCCCCCCCCTCCCGGGATTGCGCCCGCCCGCAGGGCAAAACAGCGGCGGCCAAGGTGTTCCAGCCGTACCCGGAGGACTTCCCCAAGCCAGACCCGCCGCAGTACCTGGGTGCCAACGTGTACGGCCTCATCCACCAGCAGCAGCGGCAGAACTACGCCATGCACAAGCTGCTCACCAGCTTGCAGGCCTACTTCGCCCGGCCTGCCGTCAAGGAGGTGTAATAAGTAGCGGTAAATAGCGAGTGCGATCCCCCTGTGGACCGAGTTTTACTGCTGGGTTTTTTCCACAACCAAAATAGGCTGCCAGTGTCAAAAACGGGCGGTTGCTTCGGGAACAATCTCGTCGAGAGCTGGAGGTCCTTAGAACTTAGACATATCCGTTGATCGGCTTTCGATGGCACCCTCTCGGTTATGGAGGAGTCGAGCTTTGACAGTCGGTCGAGGAGGGTGTGCGCGATCACTCGCAATCTTAGGCGGCAGGTTGTATTGTCCAAAATCGTGCCGTTGGAGCCGCCTTCTGTTTTTCTGTGGTGGAATGCGGACGATCTGTGCTGTTTTTTACCTCTATTGTCCCGGATGGTGCGGTGTTCACCCCACCGACGACATAAGTCCGCAGGTACCTTGGGCTGTGACTGCTGTGGCATCGTTCAGAGTCGGCATATGGTGTTTTCGCTTATTAACGTA